TAAGAATTATTTTTTGTTTAAATATATTTTTATTGATTTCAGAGAGGAAGGAAGAGGGAGAGAGAGAGATAGAAACATCAATGATGAGAGAGAATCATTGATTGGCTGCCTCCTGCATGCTCCACACTGGGGATTGAGCCCACAACCCGGGCATATGTCCTTACCTGGAATCGAACCATGACCTCCTGGTTCATAGGTCGACACTCAACCACTGAGCCATGCCAGCCGGGCAGAATAATTATTTCTTTATATAGCTCAGTATGGGGAACAAAAGCAGAAAGTTAAGAAAAAATGGTCACTTCTAGTGCAAATATACTAATTCAGTATTTAGTACTTTTGTACAATGCTTTCAATCATAGCACTGTATTACATTTTAATGTTGAGATAGTTGTGCATTCACACATTTTAAAGAAGTTAATTCCACATTTTCCCAATTAAATACAAATGCAATATCTCACTTTATTATTAGCTTTGTGAGCAATAGGGATTGTGCTTTGCCTAGCTATTGGTAAATATCCAATAAACATTTGTTGAATGCTTGAAGGAATGAAGAATCTAGACTCCTTACCACAACTGATATCATGATTTTATTTATTTTTATCTTATTGTCACATCAAAAAGAATTTAACTTCTTTGGATCACTATCCATTTTTGCCCTCCTTCCTGCCTGCCTCTGAGGAAGATGGTCCTAAAGTTAATCCACTTACAGGATTCAGCATACAAACATGCCCACGTCTTTCCTACCTTCAAAAACAACAAAATTAGGACCTGACTAGCTACCCGTCTGTCCTCTCCCCTCATAGCCAAGCTTCTTGAAAAAAGCATATCTCTTTCCTCACTTTTAGTTCACTCATTTCACTTTATAATTCAGTTTCTGGGACTCCACTCTGGCATCAGACACCAGGCATTTCAATCTCAGCATTGCCTTTTGCCAGCTTTGTGACCACAGGCAGGTCTTACAACCTCTAACAGGACAGACCTCATAGGCTGTCATAAAAATTGAGGTAATATATTTAAAATGGACTTCTATATTGACTGGCACATAGTAAATGTTCATAAATTGTCACATAGAAAGAGAATTTAACTTCTTTTTGAAACTAAATAATAGTTATTTTTATTGATTAAAAATATACTAGGAGTTCAGAGATGAAAACATTGGTATGGGCTTAAGAAATTTTACTTTACCTAACATTCTTCAGTTTAGGAAATTAGACTCAGAGAGGTTAAGCAGTCAAAGAAAGTTTCATGAAGGAGGTAACATTTGAGTTGGATTTTAAAGGATAACAATAATTTACATCTATTGAATACTTACTGTGAGCCAGAGACTACTGTAAATGCTTTTCATGTATTACTTTACTTAATCCTCAAAACATTCCTCAAAAATGTGAGCATTTCAATAGAAATAGATGATCTGAAGCCAGACAGAGAGAATAGAGGGAGGAATGAATGAAAACCTGGAGACAGGAAAGATATTCTGATTTCTACAGATGTTGAAATGAGATAATGAAGAGCTTGTTTTAGGCAGTAATGAAAATCAATATCGGACAGAGCACAGGAAAATTATGAGGCCTTCACAGCCATGCCACACACACATATAAAAAGAAAATGAAAGGCTTTATGGGATGGAAAAATAAAAAGCAGTTATAAATAAGTGATTTTGGGAAAGGATACAGATGGAAAAGGGGGGTTGGGCACTTTGATTTGGTGACATGCACTATGAAGCCCTGAAGAGCAGATTGAACTGGATTCCTCACATCCCCAGAGTCTCATAACCTCTACCAGCCATGATGAGTTCTTACTAGCCACTATTAGAATACCAGCACAGTGTCCTATGAAGTAATGAAGTAATCAAAACTGAATTGGGCCCAGACAGTGTTGCTCAGTGGTTGAGCATCAACCCATGAACCAAGAGGTCACTGGTTTAATTCCTGGTCAGAGCACATGCTCAGGTTGTGGGCTCAATCCCCAGCGTGTGGTGTGCAGGAGGCACCTAATTAGTGTTTCTCTATCCTTCTCCCTTCCTCTCTCTAAAATCAATAAAAACATCTTTAAAAAAATTTTTTTTAATGAATTGGATTGGAGGTTGTTTCTAGGTGGGACTATGGTTACAATAGTAATGGAAATAATGAGGCACATCCCAGGAACAATTTCAAAGGAGAACTAAGAGGAATTGGGCATGTATTAGACATTAGCTAATATTAGATCTATATTTCAGGTTTATTATATATAGCAACCAGTGTCGGAGCAGTTGCATTTGACACATTTTAGTTTGTTGTTGTTGTATTTGAAATGAATCACTATAAGTAATTATTTTTACCACTAAAATTTGTCTCTTTACTTTCTACTCCCACTCCCTTGATCCAAGTTCTTCTCAGTTTCCCCTGGATTGTTGTTGGAGTTTCCTCTGAACTCTGGCCAAATAAACCTTCTCATCTTCAAGCACATCTCCCACCCTTTTGTTCATACAGTTGCCATCGCCCATGAATACCCTTTCTTCTACCATTTCATTCCCATTACCAATTGGAATCCTTGTCATCCTTCAGAACCAAATCACCTGCTGTCTTCTCCATGATTCTGATCATCCCAGCTAGAACTGACAGCTTTTCTTTCTGAACTCCCACAGCACTGCATCTGGTCAGTTGGTTAACTGGGTATCCCTTTATCAGCATTTTATTTGTATCCCAATGATGATGGTAGTGTGTGTTACCTATTCAATAAATGTTTTAATGAAGGTTAAAAATATATTTGTTTCCTTAGTGGTTCATTCATGACTTACTACTCTATTTTGCTCTATAAAGTCTTGGGTTCTTCAATCAACCAAATTCTACTAGGATTTTACTGTAGGCTGGAGAGGACTACTATACTAATATTCAGCCAATGTTTTCAGAACTATGAAACCTGTCTAAATAGGTGCCATATTCCACAGTGCAATTGGCAATTCTTGAGGATCCTAGATTGTGACATGCACTCTTGTGGCTCTGAGTCTTTACCCATGCTGCTTCCCTTGACGAAAATACCTTTCTTCTTCTTCTTCTTTTTTTTTGCAAGGTTAACCCATACTTATCCTACATAATTTTTACTCAGATATCATCCCCTCCAAAAAGCCTTCCCTGAATGCTTTCATTAGAGCCACTTCCCATGATTGGGTGCCACTCCTGCCTGTTTCCATGGTAGCCTGGGCTTTAATCAAAATACTCACCTCTGGTGTGGCAGTTGCCATCCACAGGTCCTCCTCCCACTGTGTAAGCTCCTCTAGGAGCCTTGTAGGTGCTAAGTAATCAGCAGCATAATTCCAAGGCCCTGAGGGTTCAATAACTGTTCATTGAATGAATAAATGCAGTCTTATAGGAAATGTAATGGAAATCCCTCTACCCGGCAGATGTGAGTTGTCAATATTAGTTGTCTGATAATTTTGGAGAACTGTCATTATGTTCTCATCTTCTCCCCACCTGGTAACTAGTAGATAAACCAGCCTGAAAGGGTCCTATCCAACTCACTATTTAAGAATAGTGATTATTTTTACTATGTAGATCCCCGGGAGAAGAACAGATTTAAACATTTTTGTGTCTCAGTGAACATTTGAAGTTTTGCTGCCAAACTAATTAAACCCACCTCAACAGTCTTTCTGATTTTTAAAATAGTCCACTGGAAAGAGCTCTCTGGGGATACCCATTTTCATTTGTAATATAAATCAAGTGTTAACAATCTATCACATCCATCTAGATCTCTTCTAATAATTCAGCTTTTCCTGTTGTTTTTTCCTAGTTTTGGCAGGAGTGCTACAGGTATTTATGATTCAATTGTATAGTTTTTCACAGAACAAATGATAAGAATAATTATGTTGAAGCAGCATTTCCTTTCAGGACAATGAGCTACCTATAAAGAATTGGCTCTAAAATCTTGAAATAGGTCTTGCTTTAAATTTTCCCCTTAAGGTTCTAGTGGCTGATAATTATTCCCTTTGCTTCAATTATAATAAAAGGGTGAGAATGGTTTGATAAAATGCAGAATTAAAAAAACAGCAAAAACCCTATTTTGGGTCAGAGTAGGATGACAGCCCTTAGTCCTGGGCCGGTGGGTGGCACTAACCAGTGATGGGATGCGAGGCCTGTGAACTGTTGTAATCCAGAGTTTTATAACATAAAAACAACTGCTGACGAAAGTTCACCTGAAGTAGCATTTTGCCCCTAATTTCGTTTGCATATTTTTGTTTTAAAGACCTAATGCGTAACGATAACGATGCCTCACGCACCACCCCGCGAGCGCCGCTCCTGACCCGCCCGCCACCGGCCGCGGTCCAGGGTCGCCCGCCCCTCGCGCCGGCCG